TAGACCGAAGACAACATACAAGTCACCACTTGCAAGTGACCCAGCTAAATTTATATTGCACCAAGTAAGATTAAATTTGAGGCCAGTATAGTGGCCGCGGTTCATGGTGAGCCAACCGATTGGCCACTGTAGTGGTCGCCGGTAGTGAACGTGTTAAAAATAAAGTTTATGTAACCAAACCAACTAATATTGAAGATCTTAAAGAGAGTATCCGACACGAAACTTATTTAATATTACCTGAGATGTTGGAAAAGGTTAAAAATGAATTTTATAATCGTCTAGGATTTTGTCAAGAAACCAGAGGAGTTCATTTTGAACATCTTTTATCCATATTTATCATAAAATGAAGTTTTTATTATTTATAATTGTACAAAAATAAAATAATTAAAAATTGCATATTTGTATGAATTCCTATTAAAAGAAGCTTTCAAATGATGTATCACTTGATATACCTTTGCATTTGAAAAAAAAAGTTAGGGTTGGTTGCACCCTCAAAGGGTGGTTTCTTATATTTTTAAGATTTACCACAATTTACCCAGGTAAATTTATAAATTGACCTGGTTTTGGATTTTTTAAAAAAGTAAGTGGTTTTCAAAATACAAAATATATTCCAGTTAAGGTTTCCACCCTGTATGTATATTAGGCCTGTACAATTTAGCCGGTTAAGCCAGCTAAAAAAGTTAGCTAAGTTAATCAACTGATCAGCTTAACTAATTTAACCGGCTAACTAAATTAGCTTAGCTGATTAACTGGCGGCTTAACCGGTTAATCTAGCTTAGCTCATCTAATTAGCTAACGGCTAACCCGCTAATTTTTTAAGCTATATAATGATTTCTTATTCACGGACAGGTTCAAAAAATAATAATATTGATGTTGCTTTTATGACAAACAATAATAGAGTAATTTATTAGGTTAAATAATATATATTTTTTAATTTTATTTTTATTTATAAAAATGGCTATTAAATTAATTAAATTTTTAAATAGCTTAAAAAATTAGCCGTTAGCTAATTAGCTGAGCTAAGCTAGATTAACCGGTTAAGCCCCCAGCTAATTAGCTAATTTAGTTAACCGGTTAAATTAGCCAAGCTGATCAGTTATCTAGCTAATTAACTTAGCTTTTTTTAGCCGGCTTAACCAGCTAAATTGTGCAGCCTAATATATACAATAGGGTGAGCCAAAAAAACTAACCTATCGGATTTATGGGTTAAAATGAACCTACATACCGAGCAAAAAATTTCCCTGCAAGGCAAAATTTTTTGCTCAATTTTAAAAGGTGTCGGTGAGCATTCTAAGTTTTCCATTGAAATAACACGTAAAAAAATCATTTTTCATTAAAAAGACTATAACTTTTGAACCGTTTGAGATAAAATTTTTTACGTCGCGGATTCTTGTAGAGCATAAAATTTCCCAAAGAATCTATATCATTATTATTTTTTTTAATTCAAAAATTCGTATGTTTGAAAGCTTTGAAAAGTGTAAAAAATCACTGAAACTGCAGTTTGAAACACCCTAATGAACATTTTGAGTCAAAAAACACTAAAACTAAATATTATGATTTTTTTCACTTTTCCAAGCTTTCAAATATACGAATTTTTAAATTGAAAAAAAATAATTATGGGATAGATTTTGTAGGAAATTTTATGCTCTACAAGAATCCGCGACGTAAAAATTTTTATCTCAAACGGTTCAAAAGTTATATTTTTTTTAATGAAAAAAGATTTTTTTACGTGTTATTTCAATGGAAAACTTAGAATGCTCACCGACACCTTTTAAAATTGAGCAAAAAATTTTTATTGCAGGAAAATTGTTTGCTCGGTATGTAGGTTCATTTTAACCCATAAATCCGATAGGTTAGTTTTTTTGGCTCACCCTATTGTACAGCCTAATATATACAAGGTGCCCCAAAACTTAGTGGCATAAATTTAGGAGCAGATTAAGCAAGTTAAAATTAGACAAAAATCCGACAAAAATCTAAATAAATATTTTTCCTAATTACGTATGTTTAAAAGATACACCCAGGTAGCCCAACGTGACAAAACCGTGACGATTTGTGTCCATTGTGTCCAATTGGACACAAATCGTCACGGTTTCGTCACGTTGTGCTACCTGCAGGGTGATAAAGTGTTACTTATCATATCAGTTTTTTTAATATAACTTCTACTATGGTAGACTTGGAAAGGTGATATTTTGCGAACAATCACTTACTACCAAACCACATATTCACACATAATTACAATTGTTCGAGTAAACACAGTGTCGTAGAAACAGGGGTTGCTTAAGCTTATTGTCCCATACAAACTTTGAGGTTAGGTTTTTATACCATTTGATGCAATTTTTCGATTACTCAGTTCGGCTACTATTAAAAAGTTGTACCTCTCAAACTTCGATAAAATAAACCGTTTCCGAGATTACAATAATTGTTATATCGCATTAAAGGTCTGAAAGGTATATGATAACAAATTTTTTAATTGAAAAAACAACAATGTGACAGTCAGGGCAAAAAGTCCCGAGGCTCATGGAATGCCCTTTTTAGTTTTTTCAATTAAAAAATAAAATTTGTTATCATATACCTTTTAATCCTTATAAATAATGCGATATAACGATTATTGTAATCTCGAATATCTCGGAAACGGTTTATTTTATCGAAGTTTTAAAGGTACACCTTTTTAATGGTAGCCGAACTGTGAAATCGAAAAATTGCATCAAATGTTTTAAAAACCTAACCTTTGTTGGCTTTTATCAAACTGACGAAGATATCCCATCCAATCCTTTAAAGCAATCCAACCAATACTGGGTCCATAATAGGGTGGGCCGATTTTCTATTTAACTTCTAAAATTTGAAAATATTAAATTCTGCATTTAAGAAAAAGTTATAAAATAGGAAAGTAAACATTTTTTGCAAAATATTTTTTTTTGATATCTATGTTTTGAACTGCTCAACGACTCTAAAAATTTAAAAGTAATTTTTAAAAAAATTAAAATTATTCATAAGCGGAAAAGTTGTGAAATAGGGAAGTAAACTATTTTCCTTTAATATTTTTGAACTGTATGAAGTCAAACTGTAAATTTTAAATTTTGCAATACATAATTGCAATTATTGGAGAAACGGCGCACTGTGTCGTATTTGACCTGTATAGGTGACCAAAAGTCGATTTCTGAAGTTGCCCTTACAGCAAAAAAATATACATAAAATTGATCATTATGCTTTTCTTGACAATGTACAACCATTTGTTTATTTATAAAATATTAATAAGGACCGTGACGTATAAAATTTTAAAACAATGCACAAACACATTTTTTTATATAAATAACTCGCGCTTGGTAAATATGCGTTTAAAACTATAAATTATAATTAACAGGAGTTATATTTGGTAGATTGCTTTTAAATAAATGTCTTTTAAGGTATAACGTTAAAAATTAAAAAAAATATTTTATTTTATATATAGTAATAGCCGTCCAAATTTTGTCATTTTTTTAACGTGCATTCAAGCAAACTTTTTGCAAATAGTAATGGTGCCCCAGGTTGCCCCAATTTCTTTTGTGTGTGGAAGTGTTTGTTAATATATGAATAATGGTCGTTATTAAGGATTTTGACGGGAAATGTTGAGAAACTTGGCTACACTTGATTTTATGTCAAAAAATGTGTATTAGAGCTCATTTTTTTAAACTTTTGTCTTTATTTTCCAAGTTTTTTTTTAAATCTGGCGCCTTAAAATTAATTAAAAACATAAAAATAATAAATATATATTAATTTAGCCAATTGGCTATAAAAATAACTTCTTAACTTTCTTGCTAACAACATCCATTTCAAATACCCAAATTTAGCAATCTAACGGATTTGAGAAAAATGAATGGCAGATAAGGTATCTAAACAAAAAACTTTAACAGGATATGAGTACAAGTGCGGAATCCCTTTTAGCTCTGCAAAAGGCCATTAAAAACATAAAAAAGTACGTAGAATAAAAAGTTGAAAATAATAAAATTGGTATCGTCCCAGAAAAAATTGAACACCCTGTATACCTAAATTAAATTACAACATTAAGAAATATGTATTAATTCAAATATTTTTGTTCCCTACAAATTTTTCATGACTACAGTTGTTTCTGAGATGCATATGGGTTATCTTACGTGGTTCACCCTGTACTTAGCTTCTTTTAATCCTAACTAATGGTTAAATTTATTAAAAATTATCTTTTTGTATAACAAAAAAGCATTTTCAATATGTTTTTCAACAAAAATGTTTTTGGTCACCTAATCACTCTGTTTACGACATAGTGCGGCGTAAAATGGAGAATAAATATTTTTTAAGATTTTCGTGTTTGAAGTAGGACAGTTGACAGTTGGCTTCACTGTTTATCTATTTATCTATGGTTTATATAAATTATAATATTTTGACTTCGTCAATTAGTTGAATAATTGAAATTTTTACAAGTAGTATCTGTTTGTGGTTTTTGGGTGTTTGTGAAAAATGGCAGGTAAAACAGGATTATAAATTGAGATAAATTTGTGTTGATACATTCATTTTTATTTTTGTTTTTAAATATTTATCATTCAAAACTTTTTTTAACCCTATTTTCTCTCAGATAATTTTTTTCGTATTTATAACGATACTAAATTACATTAAGATCTTTCAAGGCCTTGCAGCAGTTTAAGAAATTAAAATTAAAAAAAAACTCATAATATTTTTCTGGGCTTATAAATGCACAACTTTTCCACCATTGCACAATTTGAATTTTGAAAAATATTAAAATCGGCCCACCCTAGTCCATTACCTTTTGAATAATCTTTGCTTCAGGGATTTGGTGGAACAGTTTTATTTATTTCTCTTTATACATAGAGAAAAAACTAATAATTAATTAACAACAATTAAGTCATGAACTATTTTTCACAAATAATAGCAGAGATTACGACACTAAAACAATTAAACTTAACAAAAACCAATAAGAAAGATTTAATTATGGGAAAAAATCTGTTCTCCTTTAAATAAAAATAACTTACAAATCTCCCAAAGAAAACTTGATATGGATTTTCTGGTGGATTATTAGCCCTAGTTCCATAATATTCAATGTACTGGAATATAACATCAGGATTTTTTAAGTTAACAGGCCCTTTTATAGGTAAGTATTCAAATTTTTCTAGTTTATCAACCTTTTGTTTTTGTGTAAAATGCCTATTAAATGTTTCTACGTCTATTTTAAAGGACATATTTTTATTAAGATAGGGCTGTAATATACTTCTTGGAAAAACTTTCATTTTTTCATGTAATTCATTTATACTAGTAGCATAGGTATAAAGTTCTATTGTGTTGCGAAGTGATACTGATCTGTTTGTTAACTGCCTCACATCAGTTTCACTTTGAAATTCAACTATACAGTAAGGTTCCTAAAAATTTATAAAATTTATTTCAAAATACATATTACTACCTAGTAGGTATGTTGTTTGAAAAAACTTACTTCTTCCTTTGGTTTTAAAACATATTTCATGTCAATATTTAAAAGTGATACCAGTGAATCTATTTCCTAAAAAAAGGATATAAATTTTATTAGTTAAAGTATTGCTTTCTTACTGCATAACGAAAACTTATATGCTCTTGAGCAAACCACAACAAATAAGTTTTCCAGCGACACATTTTTCCTGTTTTTTGAGGTTACATTTGCCATTATTTAAGGTTAACATTTTCAAGTGTCTACTGCGCCGCCGGCGTCGTTTTTTTAAATTTTATTTCTGCACCGCCGCACAGTGTCTCAATTCTTGAAAATATCGGCAAAACCTCAAAAATTGATTTTTTCAGGTAAATTTTGAGTTAAATGGGTAGTTAATACCTGTCTCCATCTTGAATTGAAAAAAAAATTATATAAAATACGTATATTTTGTCTTGTACATCAGTTTAAACTTGACGCTTTCAGTTGAAGGTACCTACTTTCATAGACAAGGGATTGGTTGGGTGGGCGGGGGGTTAGTGCCTACTTTAAGCCGGGTCTACAATTGTCGCAGGTCGCAGATCGCAGAACATAAGCTTGCGCAAAGCACCCAGCAGACAAAAGAACCTTGTTCCATCGCCACGTCGCGGGGTGCTTTGCGCAAGCTTATGTTCTGCGATCGGACACCTGCGACAATTGTAGACCCGGCTTTACACGCGATCGCTAAGGAATAGTACATTCTGTAACAAGTTTGGAATACAGCATATTCCGCTCGAGGAAAAATTTGACACACGAGCCGAAGGCGAGTGTGACGGTTTTACGAGAGTGGAATATGCTATTCCAAACGTGTTTCAGACATTATTTTCTCTACGACTACGTAAGAATAGTAACGCTTAAATAATTTTAAACAGAGAAATGAAACCAAGCAGTTTTTGACATTTAAGTTTTTTGTACTATCGCTAACAAAAAAAACTCATACAGCTATATTGTGGCTGTGTGAATAAAACTTTTCCGTCAATGTCAAGCTGACATCGAGCTTTGTCACATCCATTATGACTTTTTTAACATTTTTAACCAAACAATGCAGACGAACTCTGGCAAGCCATTGAAGCCATTTGGAACGAGATAAAGCAAGACGGCGACTTCCATGCTTTGCCGTTTGCGGGCAGTAATTTACAAAAACAGAGGAATGACGAAATATTATTTTTTTTTTTCAAACTTTAACCTAACTTTGTATTTAATTTTAGACCTTTCAAATGTGACGTATCATGTTAAAAGCCATAATTACTCCAACGAAATGATAGAAAATCAGGAACACTAGATTTTTAAGCTGTATGAGTTTTTTTTGTTAGCGATAGTATTGTCAAACCATTTTGTCCCGTCACAATTTTATAATGTAAATTATAATAAATTTAAACAAATGGTATGCCTAAATCTTTGTTATAATTAAAAAAGTTATTTATATATTTTACAAAACTAATTTTACAAGTAGTCTATGTCAACATCTATTCTTTTTCTACATTTTAAAGAGTCGTTTTTTCGCGTAAATACTATGAAATACTACGGTTAAATAAGTCATGACGTCACAGTTAATTCATATAACCATGGTTAGGTTTCTAACATTTGACATTTGTTTACTTGTTCATAACCTATAATTTTTGAAATGTGTTTTTACCTATTTATATTTAATTTCTATGCTTTTACAGGTGTAAATAAATTTCTTTGCCTCTTCTTTTACCTTGTATATTCTTTTTCTATGAACCCTAGTTCTTATACCTACCTTTTCTATACCTCTTTTTATATATAAACAGTTCTTCACTGTTGTTTACCATAACTAAAATCCAACAGTGTTTAACGTTTATACGAAAATTATTATTGTGAAATTCAAAATTTAGAATGGAACCCCAAAGAAAAAGACGAAGGTTGGCGGTATGTTTTGGAGAAGATATGTTTAGCACACAACATTATTCCTACATAAACATATTAAATATATATATTAAAAAGAGAAAGACTTTTAACCACGTTGAATAACTAGCTCAGCGATATAGTTTTATGGTCTGGTATTTGTGACGTCATAGTTAGGATTTTTGAACGCACTCTAAACGCAAAAATGCCTTAACTATTAACCAAGGTTAAGTTTAATGACCATAGTATTTCATGGTATTTACGCGAAAAAACGACTAAGGTCTTTTTTTAAACTTTTTGAATCTGTCAAAACTTCAAAGCCGGTATAGTAGGTAACTGGTTTATCATTTTAATATCAAATTTATTATAATTTTGATTTGTATATTTGAAAAACAACGAATATAACTAATTTTTTGTGCCTAAACCTTAATTATACAACTGCTATTATTTTTTAATTAATAAATAATACAGTAATATTTAAATATTTTTAAATTTTTTACGTTTAGTAAACTTGTGACCATTCTTAAACAAGAGTAGGAATATTCTCGCACAATATTGGAGAAAAACATCCTTTCTATGATCAAAAATTACACTAGAATGTTACTATTCTTAAGTAGTCGTAGAGAAAATTGTTTATTGTTTAAAAATGAATAACTTGTGTTTGGTGTGTCCGATTGTTATGCGGTTTGATGAAGGGTGATCTTCAAGGTATGTACAATTCAGATAAGTATTTGTTTTTTGTAGATTTTGCTTGTAGAACGGGATATTGTAACCGACAAGATCGGTCTGTTAAAACCGCAAACTTTGAATCGAGCTTTTAGAACAATGGAGCTACAAAAATTGTAATGAATTGTAAGGCATCAGTTCAAGATATATATATATATATATAGCTTAGAGTTTTGTCTATCAAGCCATCAATAAATTATCTGCCCAACTCGCCCCCGGCTCTTTAAAACCATACATTTCATAATATTAATGCCAAGAAAACAGTTTAAATTGGACACTTTAATTTGAAAGTTCCTCTGTAGCTCACTTTTTGCGTAATTCACACACGCGTCCGGTACCGTCCTCGTGCCCCTCTGGCTGAGACATATAGACCTCTTCGTCCAACTTACCATACAAAAACGCATTTTTTACGTCAAATTGTGTCAGCATCAAATCTTCGCTGGACGCAACACTTAGAATAGTCCTCACGGTTTCAAAACGAGCCACCGGGCTGAACGTTTCTGCGTAGTCGATTCCTTTTCCTTGCGTGAATCCTTTCGCGCCTTGTGGTGCTGTACTGATCCGTCTGGGTTGGTCTTTACTCGTAGAACCCATCGATTTCCAACAATCTTCTTACCTGGGGGTGGATCCACCAACTCCCACGTGTCGTTCTCTCGCAAGGATTCGAGCTCGTCGTCCTTAGCATGCCTCCACTCGACGGCTGCCTCCGACTTGATTGCAGAATTGTAGGATTGACATTCCACAGTCTCCGCCCAGAGAACATAATCCTCGAGGTATCGAGGAGCCCCAACTTTTCGTTGAGATCTTCCACCTGCTGGGTGTCCAGGTTGTTCGTCTTCGTCGCCTGCCTCGGAAAACTGATTTTGACTCTCCTGAAAGTCGTCCTCTGACGACTCAAACGTTCTCACCGATTGGCTGTCCTCGACTTCCTCTGACGTCGTAGATTCTTGTGGGGTTATCGGGATGGGCACCTCCTCGTCATCAGCCTTGGCCCTTACGTTTTTCTGTGCCATACAGTGCACGATAAAGAGCTGATGATAAACTTCTAGCTTTGTACCGTTAAAGTATTTATATTTTGACTTGATAAAACCTAAACAGTTTAGTTAGGGCCCCAGTTCTTTGCACCAGGTCCTTTAGTTACCTAGCTACGCCTCTACACTCATGAGTGCAGGAATAAAATAAGTAAGAATAGGATTATAATAAATCACTCTGTATATATTAAATTTAGGTTAACTTATGTAATGTAAACAAATTAATATTATTAGTTGTTTAATATTTAGCAATAAGTAGAATAAGCATTTTTGGCATGGGTGTATTATAATTAGGGATGGGATATTTAGGTACTAAAAACTGAAAAGTAGGTAACTAAAAAGGTACTAAAAAAAAGCATTTTAGGTTAAAAAAAACAGCATTTTAGGTAAAAAAAACATTAAAAGTTTAAGTTTCGTTTATAATTTTGTTTAGCCGCATACCCAAACACAGAACATACCCACAATAAACTATTTCTATGCAATAAACTGTGTTTTACTGAGTGACACTCACTACACAGAAGTTCTATGATAGAACCTAAGCTCACTAGTAGTGAGAAGAAGGTAACTGTAAAGAAAGTTACTGTTACAGTCTGTAACCATAAGAAAAAATTCTATACCGTTGAGTTGCACGCCCTGGATAAAATATTGGCGCAAATTTTAAAAAGAACAAAAAAAATAAAATAAGTAAAAATACGTAAAAATAGGTAACAAATAGGTATATGAAAATAAACTGACAAATTAAAAAATATGTAACAAAAGTATAAAAAGGTAGTTTAAAGCGAAAACCTCCAAAAAAGGTAAAAAAGGTGAAAAAAAGTTAAAAAAAATAGGTAACAAAAGTATAAAAAAGGTAGTTAAAAGCAAAAACCTCCAAAAAAGGTAAAAAAGGTGAAAACAAGTTAGGTTCATATAAAAGAAAATCTTTTAAAACACATTTTGGCATTATTGGTTTTCAAATAGTTACATCGGTTAAAAAAAGGTAAAATAACTAAAATCCCATCCCTAATCATAATATAACATTCTTATATTTGATTTTGCTAAAGCAAGTTGTTTTATTTAAAAGTAGAAAATATCCTTTTATCACACATCAACGATTTGTGTTCTTATGTAGCCTTAGAACAGCAATTGCAAATTAAATTGGACATAATTTTAATAATAAAATATGCTGGGAAATTTTCAGCGGAATATAACATATAATCATACTTTATAAATAAGCCATATTTGTAAGTAATGCAAACATACTGTATTGTAGCGCTAAAAGCAACATGTTGGAATTACAATGCTCGCTATATTCAAATATTGTAACATGTATACATGTTCTTGCAAGAACATGTAGTTTTAAAGAGCCCATGGGCGCTCAGGCACGGTTGTGGTAAAAAACCTCGCGATTTTAAGCCTATGTCGCGCGCGTTTTTGTGTTTGTGCTTTACAAAATAT